ATGCAATGCAATATCCAATTCTCAACCACTCAATCCAATGCTATTTCCAAGGCTGATTCTCATGGCTGGTCCGACAGCCTCTCATCAACATCCCTTGTGGCCGTTCTGACGGTCGCTTTCTCAACAACCATCTCTTCAAGGGCCGACCCGTCGACCCACCTTCAATCCTCAACTTTCACATTCCCCAATATTCATTCCTTATGACCGTCCCAACGGTTTATGCTCCTCTCGGCTTAAGGCTCAACCTCCTTTATCATGCCCTTCTCTTTTCAACGCATCATTCTCGTTCATCCATCCTTATGGCTATTTCAATAACCAACCCACCGGCCTTTTCCATCTCTCATTCCTCATTCCAGCTCATTCTCACTCAACCTTTCTCAATCAACCTTTCTCAATCAATCATGCAGGGGACCTCAGTGCCTATTTCAAAAGAAATGACCCTTGTAAGGGGCTATTCCCGAACAACCTGGTTAGGGTCGTTCTTTTTCCATTCTCAAGTTGAACAGCCTGGTTAGGGTCATTCCTTTCCATTCTCGAGTCGAACAGTCTGGTTAGGGTCATTCCTTTCCATTCTCAAGTCGAACAGTCTGGTTAGGGTCATTCCTTTCCATTCTCAAGTCGAACAGCCTGGTTAGGGTCATTCCTTTCCATTTCCAATGTCAGCGCCCGAGGGGGTGGACCTCGAGGACACGGATCCCATTTCTGTCTTGGAGGTTAGAAGGTGACCATCTCTTTTCAGTTTTCTGCGTGCGGTTCCCCTCATCCATCCTTAAAGCAATGTTCTCCATGCATACATTCGACTTAGCGTCTAGTACTTGAGTAGAGGTTCGCGACCCCAAGCAGCACTAGCCCACCCGGTCGTTCAACCATAGCAAGAGGCAGGGGCGCCCCCTCTTATTTTCACTCGTTCTGATTACTCAAATCTTGGCTATTCTCAGACTCATTCATGACTCAGTTGGATTAGGCTCCTAGGGACGGAGTGTTCTTCACGCGCCTTAACCCATATGTTCCCTAACCTCTCTTGTACTCGACCAACATTCAATGCCATGGTTCGCTCGTCAATCTGTACTCAAAGTTTCTCTTCTCAAAAGCACACTCCTCATTCCATCAAAAACTCACAATACACCCTTCCCAACCGTTCTCATCCCGTGCCCCATGTCCTCGTCTTATGTACCCACTTTCGAAGGTAGCTCATCTAGAAAGTAACCTCAAAATGCTATCTTCTAACTTATCGTGACATAGTCTTAGCTGGCCCTTTCATCACTCATCCTTAGCAAGCTTACTCATACTATACACATTTTGCTCCAATGTTTCGCAAATGAAAAGCAGGATTCTTGTTCAACACTCAATTAACATCTAATGCCTATTGCTGTCCTGTGCCTCAACTCGCTCGGCCCCTTGTCCATCTTGTCCTTCTGCTGACTCTCTAAACCCCAGGACGGAGGCCATGATTTCTCTTTTCCTCCTTGCAATCTCTCGCAACTCCAACTCGCTATATATATCCAATGGTGTGGCCACCACCCCTGTCTTTGCGAGTTCCCGGGTCTTGATAATCCACTCATGTTTGATCACACTGAGCCATTGTTGAAACCAATGGCTGGGCGTTGGCCCAAACTCATCCTCCCATCTGAAGGCTCCTTCGCGCGGCTGGTGTATCGGGGGCCGCCTCTCTTCTCTAGACCTCAAGATTTCATCCTTCTCATCCCCACTGCTGATTTCTAGGACCTCCTGCAGTTCCTCTACCTCATCCTCCTCTTCTTCCGTCTGTATGGGGCTGTACCCGCCTGTCAAGTTCTTTGGATCGTAGGTATAGGGGATTTATATCCTTGTCCCATACCCTTCTTCAACGTCCGGATCCCTCCCTTCACAGCTACCGTGGCCGCTCCGCCCTTCAAGCGGACTTTCCCTTCTCTCCTCACCCTCCTCATGCTCAACGCGCATGTCCTGTCTCCCTTTGCTTTCCCCATGCCAAGACTCACGTTGTTTGCCCATGTTGGCTCCTTCCTCGTCAGAGGCCTGTGCCTTATCTCCCCTGTCCGCATTGCCCCCTTCTCCCACACTTGCCCTTTCCTCCTCGCTTTCACTCCCAAACGAGATATATATACCTTCTCCCTTCCGAAAGGGCGAGGGTCTTCTACATACGCACTTTCTTTCACTCCTGCCTACCACTGGCCCGGTTATGAGCCCTATGTACAACTTTCTCTTTGCCGTCCTCCTCCCTCGACTCGGTCCCGCTTCTTCCCCTCCGGTAGGCCTGTTGATTGCCCCGCTATCATTTTCGTTGTTGAATTCCATTTTTGTTTTTTCTTGTGCTTTTCTTCTAGGTTCTGTATAACAAAACAACACCCACAAAACCCCTCATACACCCGTTTCCCCAGTTTGGTAGGCAGCTCCCTTTCCCCAGAATGCTCCCAGTATCCTTCGCATCATGCCACTATTATACATTTCCCTCCCTTATGCAAAATGCCCCGCTTGTGATGATCCCATTATTTCCCCGTCAAAAACTATGATACAATGCTACCGACAATCCTTTCCGTTGTCGCACAAACCCGTTACCGCAAACTCCCAAGTCATCCTGCCTTCCAACCTCAGTCAGTCCAAACCATTGCCCCAACCCCAAAAAAAAATGACAGTCCCACGGACGCAGTTAGAGACAGAACCATAGTGTGGGCAAGGCCGTTGTCAGTCCTTAGCTTGTAGCCCCTCAGTTTTCTTATCCTCGGCCTCCTGAAGCCATTGTTTCACTGGGTCCCGACTTAGAAACCTGACCAATCGTTGCCCCGGGAAGGGTCCTTTCAATCCAGTTCCATCCAAATCTTCCAGTTCGAAGGTGTTAAGTCCCACCCGCTTGGCGACCCGGTAGGGGCCTTTGAACCTCCTCCCCAGTTGTCCAGACCAAGTACTTTCTAGTGCCGAGTTCCTTAGCAATACTGTCTCCCCCACCTGAAGTGGTTCCTTTCTGACATTCTTAACCTGGTCCCACCTTGCTTTGTCCCTCATTCTGCTGTCTAGCACCCGATTGGCGATGTCTTCCATGACCACTTCGTTCTTAAGGACCTGTTGACACCTTGCCTCGATTAACTCTTCCGTGGTCATTCGCGGATCATCATCTAACCTGTTCCAGGTAGGTATCAAGGCTTCATCGGGAAAGTCGATCTCTCTTCCGTACCAAAGTTCTGCTGGGATACATCCCATTGTCCTCTTAGGTGTCATATTTTCTAAGAAGACAGCCTGCTTGAGATACCTAGGCCAACTTCCCAGATGGTCCGCTGCGAGCTTCGCAATCGTGTTCCTTAAGGTTCAGTGCCCTCTTTCCACAGGTGCATGCCTCCGGGTGATACGGCTCGATGCGTTTGATCGGTACGCAAAGTCTCTTAAGCATTCCCAATACTTCTTGGTTCACAAATTCTGTCCCATTGTCCGTTATAAACCTCATGACGAAAGGATGCCTCAAGTAGAAGTCTTCTATCCAGTCCGCCACACTCCTCCCTGTCTTTTTCTTGAGAGCGACCGCCTCCACGAACCCGCTCAAGTTGTCTCACGCATCTAGAATATACCTGTACCCATCTGTTGATACAGGCATAACCGCAAGGTCAAGATGGACCAGATGTCCCGGCCCTAGCACCCACGTTGGTCGAAGCGGCTCAAAGACACGTGTCGCGCTTCGTTCCTGGCAGATAAGGCACATCTGCCAGTATATGGTGACCATGCCTGCCATGCGTGGCCAATAATAAAGTGGCGTTATCTTTGCAAGAGTTCCTTTGGACGATCGATGTCCTTCTACTAATCCGTCGTGCATTGCCTGGGCTGAGCCGGGTCTGCATCACTCCCGAGGGGGTGGAGGAAGCGGAGCCCATAGATGCATTCCCCGAATACGAAGGAGGAACTCTTGCGGTGGATAACGAAATGATGGACGGAGAATGCGCGTCGGAAGAACTGTTGATCCGGACTTTGGAGAAGGGGGCACCTGCCGTAGTAGCAGAACTTAGAGAAGGACCAGTCACCACTCGAGGTCGCAAAGAGGAGAAAGATTTGTGGGGAGCGATAGTGGGACCGAAGGAGGAACTAATAGCAATGACGATTGAGGGAGGTCGGGACGCCGTGATGAGCTTAGTGGAATCTTGGTAAAGAAAATAGTCGCGATGGATGGTAAACCAGATGCAGGAAAGAAAGGATGAGGACCAGGAGGGGAAGGAGTTTTTCTATGCCCAGACATACAAAGGATCTCTCGAGAGATCGGGTTGTTGCTGCTAGGAAACAAACAACCTATGGAAGTCAGCATTAAAGTAAGGGAGGAGGACGAAAGGGACGTCATAAGGGGCGGCCATCTGTTCCGAAGAGAGGAAGGTGCTATGCCAGAAGAGTTGTGTGCGGAAGATCTAGGCAGCTAAATAAATCCTACCCATCTTCCCACCGTCGGATCTATAGGCCTGTAATTCCTTAAGGCCCCTGCAACATTCGTCGGATCGATCCTAAGGATGAACCGCCTCCCAAATATGTAGGCTTGGAAGGTCTTGAGGCAATGTAAGATGGCTAAGATCTCCTTCTTAAACTGTGAGTATCGCCGTTCTGCGGAGTTCAGGGTTCTACTTTCAAACCTAATTGGCCTCTCTTTCCCTTCCTCGTCCCTTTGAATCAGCACGCCTCCGACGGCCAAGGGTCCTCCATCCGTCTCTAGGATAAAGGGTCGTCCCACTTCGTCATTGAAACAGGGTGCGGACAAGGCGACTTGCTCCGATGTCAGTATGTCCTTGAGGGTTTGGACTGCTCCTTCTCGCTCCTCCGTCCAATCCAGGATCCCTTCTTCTCTAATCATGACCCGGATAGGCTCAGCAATCTTGGCAAAATTTTTAATGAAGATCCTTTAAAAGCCGACCACGCCTAGGAATGCTCTTACCTCCGTTGTCGTGCGCAGGGGTGTTGGCCACTATGATATCTTGTCGGTCTTTGTCGGATCTGGCTTCTTACTGTAAGCACCACAACGAAATCCTAGTATGGTCACTTTCGGTACTGCTAGAATACTCTTTGGTCCGCTAGCCGTAATGTTATATACTAGGAACCGGCGGAGTAAGTCCTTGATGTCTTGTAGATGGTCCCATACAAATCTTCAAATTCCCGGCTGGACTTCAGTCTCGTCCTTCTCTTGAGCGCCTTTGATCGGGTTGTCATCGATGCAGGGTTCACACTTCTCTGGGAAAATGTCCCCGGCTACGGCGAGCATTCTCCTTTGTGCTTCGACTACCGCGTTTATAAAGCCCATAGGGGTCACCTGCATCTGCAACTGGCGTACGGCGGTGTGCATTGTGGTGTACGGCCTGTCCCGGACATCCAATGGAAGTTGGTCGTACCCAGAGTACAAATCGATCAGAGAGTAAATGCTTCGGCCGGTGTGCGACTCTGCTAATAAATCAGCCTGAGGCAGCGAGCCAGCATCCCGGATGGTTACCGCATTCAACTTCTGCAGATCCTGAATCCACCTCAGCGTCTTGTTGGGCTTCCGAAAGACGAACCATCGGTTTGCGTTTGGCGATGCCGTCGGTTCTGCGATGAAGGAGTCCATTTTTGCTCGCAGAAGGTCTGTCACTTCCCCTGCTATCCCAAATTCATAAGCCGGACCCTTGTCATTCCAACACTAATGCTCTACCGTGTGGATTCTGATCGGAGGAATTAGCTTCGCGTCCAACCACCCCTTCTGGTGGTCACTAAAGGCAAATGCTTGGTGAAACTCCTGGCAGGTCCTTTTGACTAGGCGGGTTTCTTCTTCCGTTAAGAATCCGTCTCTCCCTATCTTCATTGTATCAGCTGCCTCATCCGGTATCCGATGCCCTTCCGTTGCTCTCCTCTCTTGGATCACTAGAAAGACTTCTTCCTCCTTCTCCATAGCCTCTTCCTTTGACGTCTCTAGCAGGATCGAGACCGGTTTTGCTTTCTTTCCTACCGGCTTGTATTTTCGAACACTTCCTTCCGGGATCTTTCTCCTAAAAAATGAACGGTCGGGATTGCCCTCGCCACTTCTACGGTTCGTGGTTGAATACTGACTAATTTCTCATTCAGACAATATCCCTTTTGCACCTCTCCTTCGAATTTGGCCAAGGCCGCCGAGTCCACTCCTACCTTGTGGTATCTGAGGGTCTTGATGAGTTGTACCAAATCGGGGATCTCGAGTGCGACTTCTGGCACGTCCATGCGTACTTCTTTCCGTTTTGGCAGACTGGCACCGAGTTCGACTTCTGATTTGTTTTCTGCTACCATAACACCCAAGACTTCGTCCTCCTGCCTCCTTTTCTTCTGGGACAGACCCATCTTGATCCATTTCTTCTTGTTGAATGCCTCCTCAATCATAATTTCTACCCCTTCTCTCATGCCCTCCATCCCCGCAAAAGCCCCCTTTCGTGCACTATCCTCGAACGATGGCGACCACGTGGCTAACTTTCCCTTCGGAGGGTCTCCTCCTGTCCCTAGGAGTCGGAGGAGCTCTCCCCGGCCGGTCACTGGGTCCTCTATGTCTACCATGTACATGCCATCGTGCAAGTGCATGCCTATCATTTCCACGTTTGCGCACCACAGTCTCCCGAGGATTATATCGTGGTCAATTTCCTCCATTACAGTCATCCGTTGAAACGACCAGATCGACTCCCTGACTCCAGCCTTGACTGCGCATTTCGTGACATACCCAACGAACGGGATTTCCCCACCGGCTCCCCGGATGTTCCCTGTTACTTCCTTATTTACCGTACAGGCCGTGATCGTTGCGAAATCCCTCCTTATGAGAGTGATTTCCACTCCCCCGTCTACTAATGTGTTGGTATGATGGGTCCCGATCTGGACTTTCAACTTTCCTACAAGCAGCGTGTGGAAGCTGAGCTTTGTCCTGGGAGGTGCCCTCATAACCTCGCCACCTTCTCGGTCTGGCAGGCTCAGGTGGATGTCCGCAAAGGCTTTCTCGAGATCCTCCAAATCCCCACGACTCCTCTGAAGGTTAGCGACCTCTTGCGGGGCTTCCTCCTCCCTGAGTCGGGGTTTTCGTCTATCTCTACTCGCCGCCGAGTCAACAGTTGTCTAAGCCCTTTAAGCAACCTAGGGCTGGCCTGCAGCATGGTCTGAAACGACACCGATACCATGGTTCCCAGTTATTTGCTAAGGGTGTCATCGATTTCAGGCATGGTTAAGATCGGGATTTTGTACCTAAAGTTCTTTTTATCGGCGGTAACTTTGTCCGTTGGCTCCTCTTCCCTAGGCTTCCCATAGATTTTTTCTGGTTCCCCGGCCTCAGGCTCTGCCCGGGGTACGGAACTTCCAGCAACCTCCTCCATCACGATGTCACAAATAATCCTTCTCCCAGCCATCCCTAGCTGAGTAGTTGCGTTCACCCTATCATGTCCGTCGTTTTCCAAAATGAAGTTGACCTGCGGCCCGCGACCCCAAAGTTGATCCCAGATGATATCTACCACCGGCTCAACTTCTACCGCTGCTATCTCTAATCCATTGAGCATGATAATGACTCGTCTCATCCCCCTAGGCGAGCTCCAATTCACCCGTTCTCCCTGCGGTCCGAATATCTCCCCCTTTAACGACCTGGTACATCTCCTTTTCAATATATCATGATTGAGCTTTGGACATGCGCGCATATAATGTCCCATCACGGTGCAGTACTTGCATTGCTCGTTAGCAGGATCTCTCCGTCCGAATCCTCGATTGGCTACACCTGGCGGAACTACAGCTTCCTGGGGAGGGAGGGCGGGTCGGGGTACTTGCGCCTGCATAACTAGTAGCGCGTTCTCTACCCTTTCAATCTTGTTGTCGACTCCGTACACCCGTTCATGTAGACTTTCAATCCCCTTCTTTACCTTGTCGCCTGTCCTACTGGTCAGATCTATGACCTCCCCTTCCTTAAGCAAGGCCAACGTCTCGGTCACTACTGTCTTTTCGGCCAGATCCGTTACTGTGTTAAAATCAACATCCCTGGTGTTTACGAATTTGCTCGTCTGCTAGTAAGCCGACAGAATCTTGTCTTTGTCAAACTCGGAGAACTGCCTAAGGAAGTATTTGCTCATGATCCGGTCCGTAACCCCGGGGATCCTTAGGGCTACCAGAGTAAACTCCCGTAGGAAGTCATTGTATGTTGCGAAGTTCTTCTTTTGAACTGCCGCTAAGTCGGCCTCCGTAGCCATCTTCTCCGCTGCCAGATATTTCCTCATCATCACATCCCGGGTTTCTTTCCAGGGTCGACTCGCGGCTACGATGGTCATTATGTCCCGCCCCAAGCTCAAAGACACATGCTGCCCCAGTTGGTCCATCTGTTCTTCTTCGGTCCATTTCAATAGCGCGTCCAGATTCTCGTAATCTATCAGGAATTTCGTGATGTTCGCCCCGTCAAACGTCAACTTTTTCTTAGCGTCCGCCAGGTAGCCTTGGTTTTTGTTCAGTGCTCGCGCGAGGGACGATACTATCTTTCTAAGGCCGCCTTCGGAGCTACTGGCCTCGCCCACTATACTGGTATCCGGTCCTTCCTTGCCGGCCTTTTATCCCTCCCTAGTCTTTGCAGTTCCTTCTGGGTCGAACCATCCCAACACCCTTTCCCTAAGGCTCCAGAGTCCTTCACATCCTCACGTTACCGCTGGCGTGGTTGGGAGACGGTTAACCCTACTATCTATGGCTGGCGAATTCGTAGCTTTTTCTACCTCCATCCCCGGAGAGTTCTCTCTCTCTTTCCTTCTTTTGCTCGATGTTCCCCCACGGTCACTACCCTTATCCCCTTGCCCAATTCCGCCTCCGTCGGTCCTCCGTTCGTCCCGCGGTTCTTCCTGCAGAGGGCCTTCTTCGTTCCTAGTCATCATTTCCTCGATCAATCTTACCTTGTACTCCGCGGTCCTTTTTTCTATCTCCGCTAGTTTGCGCCTCGCATCCGCGACCCTCACTTTCTTAGACACAACTCCCTCTGAATTTCGGGGGCTTGTCCTATCCTTATTTATGCCCTCCTTGGTTTCCTGAGTCCCTTGCCTGCTTCCCCCGGCTTTCCCCGAGCTTTCTCCTGAGGAGATTTCCTTTCGGTTCCCTTTGGTACCATCCGGATTTATCGATTCTCTGTCTTTCTGTCCCTCTTCGCTCTGTACAACACTGCCTCCTAAGCCTGGTACTCCTTCGCTCTTACGGTTATCCGTCTCATCCTCCATCGCCATTTTGCCTAGTTCTGCATAAACCAAAGGATTCCCCAGGACACACGCAGCGCGAGGCATTTAGGTTCCCTAGATTCCGGCTTCGTTGGCTTATCTTTATTCAGAAAATAACCTTCTCCCTATTTCTGTTTCCTTATTGTTTCCCTAAGAAGGAGCCACGACTGGCCCTGCTGCCCTGCCGAGCTAAGCGCGTGACTTAATTTCCTTTATCACAGGCTCGTTTAGAGAGCCCTTGTCCCGTCGGGCCGGCGCGTAGGAGTCCGGGTTAGGCATCCTGCTAGGGAAAGTTTCCCGGGCAGTATTCCCCTTTCCGACCTTCAGGGTCATGGCAACCATTAGGAGTCTATCCTCCCCTCTTTATTCTCTAGCGGGTTTTGATTGTCCGGGTCCGAGGCCTTTCCTTATTTCCATTGGTGAGCCCCTGTACGTGGCGGACTATACTTGATTTGCCCTATTGGCCCGCCCCCAGGTGCTAGTCCCGTTCTCGCCCTCGTGACCCTTCGGGTTCGGTAGGCTCCTCGAATAGTTGAGCCACCCCTGCCAGATAATTCTCTCCTATCTCGATTTCCCTTTGGATTATGTGTTCGTATTCCGCCCAGGCTAGCCGTGGCAATCCAAATATCAAGATATGGATAACTTCCAGTAACTCATGGGCCCTGTTTCCCCAGAACGGCCCATGTTCCACAGCAACATCGTAGAACATCCCGATGGTCTGAAAGGGGAAGTGGTCTACCTAGATCATTGCCGAGTCCGCCAGCGCTTGTGCCCTTGCGAGGCTCCCGAAAATGAGGTCTATCATAAATCGGGGGACCCGACACCTCAACGGGGTGGTTGGTGCCCTAAATTCCCTCCAACCTCCTATTTCCACCCTGGTAAGTAAATCCACGTTTCTCCTACCCCTGACTGATTGTCCTATCCGCGTCAATACCCTGGCCGCCCTCCGAAAGACTGAAGCCAGCTCGTGGCCTTGCGATATTCCTATCCCCAACAAGTGCCAGCCAGCCTCGGGTAGGTATAGGACCCCGGTTACCTCTAAATTGGAGAATAGGTCATCCCCAGGCCCTCGGTTGAGTCTCATCCCCATCCACCGACATTCCACCAACATGAAAGCGTTGTCTCTCCCTAGAGTCACGGCCCGCCATTCTACGTCGAAACCCCTAAAGTTGAAATTTGACGGAAGGGGCACTTCCCATCGCCCGCCGTTATTCCAGGGCGGTCCGGGGTACCGGGGCTGGTGTTCCATTCGCACATGTCTTGCTGGCATTGTTGCCTTGGCGATTCCCTGCATAGTCCACATAGAAAGGGTTAGAGCCAATCCTCAATAAACGTCCACCTACTGCCCCCTTACCCTTTATGTTCTCATTCTTCTTCTCTGGTCCAAACTATCCCTCCATATCCCCAGGAGCCGCAACCTCCTCTGGCTGCTCGTACAACTGGTAAAGGTCATCTATGTAGGTCGCCCCCCGACCTACTTCCCGCCTGATGACTCTCCACATGGCCTCATCACTTATTTGCGGAACCCCTGGCCTAGTATTTACTGCTGCTCGTAGTATGCAAAACACCTCGTGCTCTTGTTCGTCTTCAAAAGGTCTCATCTCTAGGAAGGCCCGGTAGTATTCCCGATACATTAATGCTTCATCAAAACTTAGTCACGTTATGGCAGCTACTGCCTGCTCCACTCGCTCTATACCTCTCATTCGTCTTAGTAAAAAAGGTGGTAGACTCATTCGTATGACCTAATGTCCCCTGCCGCGGCGACTTTTACTTCAGTCGTCACGTCATCTCGTTCTGGATCCGCGAACTCAAACCCCTCCCACCAGGTTATTTGTCATGCTCCTTCGAACATTCGCACGGGGTCATCCCCGGAAGCCAAGGCAATCCTTCGTCCGACAGGTGTAAGGATCTTGTCGCATGTACGCGCCCTGGAAGGTCCAAATTTATACCCCCGAACTCCCCTCTCGCACACCATTCCAGCTCTACTACTAGGTACACTATCTTCCACCAACTCTACCCCCACCCAGTCCATTACCGGGTTACTTACCACATTTCTTGCCGGCAGGCTTATTTCGACCCTCCCCCCTGATGCTCTTGGTGGCAGGATCTCGCGAGGCCTATCCTCCCAGAATGTCATTCGCCAATCCATCTTGCAATGTCTCCTTTCCTGCTCCCTTAGTCCGATTGCTGCACCCACCGACATTCTGTGCCTTTCGTGCTTTAGTCTTTCAGCACTCCCTACCTATCGTACACCGGTTCTTGCTGCTATCTCTGCCCCATACACGTACAGATCTTCTTCCCCTTTTCCGGTTGTGCTATCTCCCCCTTGTTTCGGCCCCGTCGCACCCCCTGCTAACTAATGTACACGCCCCTCTCTTATGTTACACCCTAATTCACATGCATCCTCCATACTCCGACTCCCCCCCGTAGCGTTCAATTTCTCGGTCCTCTTTAATCGAACCACAATACTTCGAACAGTTTAAAGAGATCGTCCAAGTAGGACGGAGCGGCCGCCGCCTCTCGGCTGACTATGGCGTCCCAAGCCCCCGCGTCTACCTCTAGACGGTCATACTTGCCTATCCTTAGAACGGTGAGGATCTCCCCGACTTTATCCCCGCAGAAGGTCCCATATTTTAATGAGATCCTATAGAACTCCTCAGTCAGCCAGACACACTGTATATGCACTTCTTTCATGGAGTTGGCAACTTCTACAATGTGCTCAAAACCCCCAAACCACTCGGCTACGAACTCAGGCACCCAAACCGTTGTTCGTAGGCTGGGGGGCTTGAGTTCCCTCCATCCTCCCATCAAAACTCTGCTACTAACTTCGTCCCATCCCTCGTTGGCGAGCCTCTTGCCTTTTTTTCGGGTTCGCGCCTCTGCATCCCCTAGAAGCCACATTGGATCCTGTCCCATTGCTAACGTAGTGCAAAATAGATGCCACCCGTCTTCGGAAAGGACAATCGTTCCGACCGACTCCACTTTGCCCTCTGCTCTCTCGTCCCAACCTTCCTCTTCCCTTATCGGGTTCCAAATCCGTTCTATCCATACATATGATAATTCCCGGGCAACCTCAAACCCAACCCAGTCGCACGCGGTCCCCCTCCACTCGTTTTCTGTCGGTATAGGCATTTTTATTCCTCCTCTAAGTCGCCTTGGTTTTCATCCCTTGAAGGTGTATTCCATCATTCTTTCCTCTCTAGTCATCTTTCCCCTTCCTGCACAATACCAGGCCACCCGTTCCCCCTAGGTCAAGTCACCCTCCTTAGAAGTCCTAGTCCTCTATCTCATCATCTTCGTCCTCATCACTGAGGTCGTCATCCTCGTTGTGGAACAATTCCTTCACCCCTTCCAGGAATGTCTCTCCTACCATCACAGTTCTGTAGACTATCCCCCAATGCACAGAGCTAGAGACAAAGACATTCTCTATACTAAGGCAGTTTAGTATCTCGGTCAGCTTGTCCGCCCAGTTCCCCTCGAACGGCCCCATTTCTACCGACAACCGAAAGAAGTCTTGCCTAGCGCACTGGTATAGTCCGAGGTTCGTCATGGCTGGCATATCCGTACTAGTCTGCTTCGGGTTCCGAAAACCGCATCCACCAGGAAGGGAGGCAGCACACATCGCATGGTTCTGACGGGTCGCCGCATGCTTCCTCTATCCCCAAGTTCCACCCGCACATCTACCCTTTCCATTTCCATTTCAATTGCCCTCCGCTGACACGCAGCCCACACAACCTCCGCTTCTGCCTTCCTAAACAGCTCGTCCGGCGTATTCCCGAGTACCAACTCTATGACCATGACATTCTCCCCACCTTGCGACAAGTAGACCCACCCCCGGGTTTCCACTGTCCCTCGGAATTCCAAATCCATTAAACTTGGCGACAACCTCGTCAAGCTGACATTAGTCCATACTGTCTCTATCCAAAGAAACGCGTCCTCCCCTTCCAGCATTGCCGTTTGATACGCTGGTTCAAGGTCCGTCCACGCTCCATCTTCCGGGAGGACGACTGATACCCCATCCTTTACATCTACTGGCATTTCAGGGCCGCTCGTATAGATCGGGGAAGGCAACCATCGCGCCATCTTGTTTCAGCACCCGACCTCTGTTTTCATAAAAGAGTATCAACCGGTCCTTCTGGTCAGGTCGACCCCCGTCCTAGATGAGAATTATTTCAGACCCCTCATCAAGATCTCCCTAATTTACCTCCCCATTCCTAAGTACCTCCTTCCCATAATACCCTCGGTCGGCCATCCATTTCCCCACATTTTTCCTCTTGGTTCCATTCCAGCTGACCTCTATCCTCCTTCCTTCCAATCATCTCTCAATCGTGTGGACTTAGATGGGGTGGGGGGATAGACTTAGAAATATGTCCCGTCCAACAATCCAAGCTCAATCAATCTTTACAGAGGGGGAACACAAAAAAAAAAATTGGCAATCTCACATACGGGGCCGGTCATCTCCTCTCCGACCTTTTCCCAATATGGTCTCTCCGCTGGTACTATCGGTAAAGTTTTATCCCATACCTCAAGCGCAGCTCAACCGTCGCGAGCGCGGTACCCAAGCTCCGGCAAGGCGTTAGCCCTTTCCTTATGCCCAGAATACCCCATCATGTCTTGCCGCTTTTGCACATCCATACCGACACCGAGAGTTACCCCGTGTGCCTAAATATAGGGACAAAAGTCAGCCGTCCGGGCATTCACTTCCATCGGTCCGATAAGAATCAACCTTTCCCAAACCATGCTACGAGAAGCTACTAATCGTCTTCGAGGTTCCGTCCTTGTCCGCATGCAGTGGTACTCCCCCCGCCAGCCAACAGGCTAAGCCCCGCCTGAGGAGACGTTTCGCACCCCGCCTGACAGATCATCGAGCCAAACCCGCCACCGCTCGAACGGGAATGCTACTAATCAACCGGCGTGACAAACTCCCGTCCGACAGCTCGGTGGCCTGACCTCCACACACGAACACCCGGTAACCTCAAAAGCGAGCGACGTTTCGCAACCCGCACCGGCCGGTGCAGACCCATCCTTTCCTTCCGAAAGGCAGGACGCTCAAATCCCATCATGCAAACACAAGTCCCAAGTGGGACACATAGAGTACAAGTGTCTTTCCCTTTGTGCTCCCAACGCTTCCTACCCATAACTCACATTTTTCTCTCAGGACAATCAGTGTCACTCCCCCTGTTTT